TTTCTATAATTTTTAAGAATTTTCGATATCTATTGGTTACAGTTATTAATTTACACCGAAATAAAGGAATCAAATTATATTTAAAGGAAATACTGTCGTCCCAGGACAATAAACTAAAATAAATCAAATCTAATACTATCGAATAGACACGAAATTATCTTAATCGAAAACAATCAATAATGATTAACCGGATCAAAATTGGACACACTTAGCTATTGCGTGAACATCCAGATGGCAAATGAGGAAATACCAATTTATAAATCATATAATGAGATATTAACCATGAAAAATTTTTTAACAGATTGTAGAAAATAAACAGACCTCCGTTTGAATCTCCCTAATCAAAACACTTCTAGGATGTTCTTAAAAATGAAGAAGGAACAAAAAATAAAATATTCAGATTCTCCGAGGAAACCAATTAAGACAACTTAAATTAAGGACATACAACGTAAATTTCAAACTTCAAACGTGTAAATTAATAAAAATGCATAATATTAAAAAGTTTAACGCCAACAACCTAGTAGTTGAGGCTGATATTCTTGAAAAAATACACAGCTACACTTACTATTTAATTACTACTCTAATTATATCACAACTTTTCTATAACATAAATATTTAGTGAAATAATACTAATTTTTATAATACATGTCATTGGGTAGATATAACTGGTATTTGTATTAATTTACAGGTATATCTAACAATTTTTTAAATGAATAAAAAAATAATAATAAGTAATATAATATGTGTATATAATATTAAAATCAAATCATAATTATTGACGATTGAATAAAAATTGTGACCAACGCCTCAGTAGTAAGATATCAATTTTATAATTAAAACCGCAAAGACCAAATGGATAGTAAAATATTTATTTTGAATCATTTAAGTTTTAAATTAAGTAAAAACATTTTGATTTTTATATAAGTGAACGTAGATATTGATTAGATATCGATGTAATTATAGGTATGGGATATTTGATTACACTAGATAACAGGTGTAATATGCTTCTTACCTTGATTTATGATCCTCGGAAAACGCTGACGCTTTTCTCTAGAGTGAGGATGATTATGAGGTTCGAGGATTAACAGCAAGTAATGTATAAGTTCCATACAAGACTCGTTTCGCTGGAATGTCGTTGCGCTGCAAATATTCATCTGTATTGTTGTTTTCGATTTTTTTTATTCTACCACCGTTCGTAGTAGGTATACAGAACACCTAATGCGAATTATAAAATTGCGTTCATGGCTGCGCTAAATGATATAATAATAATATTAAAACGATCTACTAGGCACCTACATATTTGTACACGTTGACTGATAACACGTAGGTACTTATCGTTTAAACAGTTCGACTATAAAAAATAGTATTATATTATTATTCATAACGCAATACATATAATATGCATATATATTATATATAATAATTTATTATTTGTGATCGAGTGTATATTAATAATAATACCCACACAATTACACAACCCGTATTTAATATAAATAAAATTATGATACGATTCATGGGTGTAGCTAGCGATTATTGTAGAGAATAATAATAATAATACTATAAAATTTATAATATAATAATAATATTAATAACATAAAAATAATTCTGGACCGAGCAGTTATGCGCCGAGAAAAATAATGAACAAAGAGACAAATTGATAAAACATATTATTTACACTTAAATAAAATTAAAATTGACACTAACGAAAACCATAAAACGACAGTGGATATAGAATGATGTATTTTTTTATATTATAATAATTATGAAGTATAAGCGTATGATTATATTTTTAACTTGATATTCGTATAAAGTTCTAAAAACGACGCATATATAATGAAACGCATATTATAATATTATATAGCCACTAACAGCACCAACCAGTAACCATTGTATAATATGCAAATACGCATATATAACCGCTAAAGTGCTAAATCACTAAATGTAACCAATAATCGTACATAATATAAGTACTTGAGAATTTTCATGTTTCACGTTAAATCTTTTATCAAGCATTTACTAAATCAAATAAGATAGGCACGCTTATAAATTTGAAGAATAATTATTTTTATACTTAAATTTTAGGAATAAATAGTGTATATACGATGAAAATTCTAAAACTTACTAGTTTTTACTACTTATAGGTAAAGGTTAGGGTTCAAACATAAATTTATGGATTCCTATGCTTTTAAAATATTAAATATTTATTATACATTATCATACAATTTATCAAGTTAAATGAAAGTCGTAAATGTTTTTTTTTTGAAAAACAAATATGGTATCATTTATTTCTTATTTAGGTGGTAATATTTATAATAATATGTATGCAATAAATTAAACACAAAAGTATAGTAATGGCCAATGAGTAAAAGCAAATAAAATATATAATAGGTAGTTAGTTTATAGTTGTACTTACAAACTGCAGCTATCGTGATGTATACATATAGATATAGTTTTAATTCCAAAAACTTTTTTATTCTTCAATCATGCGAATTGAAATACAGTAAGGTAGGTATATGACAAATTATGTAACATCATGCAATAATACAAACATGAATTTATTAATGATTTATTAATTTGATTAAAAAAAAAGTATATTCTAATCCATCGGCCTCATTGCGCCAATTTATAAAATAATGGTAAAATTTCTGTTTATTTGTTTATCGTTGAAAATTTATTACGTCGCTATTATGATAAATTTAAAATTATTTTATTATTTTTGTTTAATATGAACTATTTTGTTTGCACAACTTATCTGTGTATATAAATTATTATATCAGAAATAATAACAAAAATAAATAAAATAAAAAACGTTTATTTTTTTTCTTTTAAAAGAATTGTCAGTGGTTTACTACGTTTTTAGTTTGTACACATTTACAGTAACATACCAAATTACTAACATGGTCATGTATACATGTTTCTGCCATCATAAACTGAAATACTTTATTGTAGTACTGAACACCTGCGCTCTGTAGTTTGTAATGCACATAGTACTACAAGTAAACTCATACGCAGAAGTATAGAATTAAAAGAGTAAGTACATCTACGTTTTAAAGCGTAACAGTTTTTCATAACTTTAATTTGAAAACTGCATATTTGTTTCAAATTTAATTACAGCATAAACGTTAATGTGCAATAAGTGCATGTGCCAAAGTTAAACTGTCTATAGTGACCATTATTATACGTATGAAAACGAATATTATATTATATTGGTCTATCAAACAGTTTAAATAAGTCTATAAATTATTATCATGTATTTGATTTATCTAGAATACATACAATAATGTTAGATTTAGAGTTTCAATTATTTTATTACATTGGCATCGATATACTGGTATTGACAATGAAAATATTGTATGTACCCATAAGGCTATAGAACATTCAGTTTTTATTCAATAGTATCGTATAACTTTCAAAATGTTTCCAGAAAAATTAATTTGGTTTTATCGTAGATAAGTCTTTTGAAAATTTAAGCCATATGTACATTTGTGTACAGTGTACACTATACAGAATGCACGGTGTACGTTTGGTTTAGGAATTCAAAATATAAACCCTGCCATTGTAGACACGATCGGACAATATATCTTTTGTTGCCATTTCGTCTTTATGCCCCACTGGTTAACAACATCTAGCAATGTGTACACTGTAACGACCTCGAACCCCCTACTATGTATTTCATTTTTCCTATTTTAACATAAGTATTATGTATAATATAAAAATGTATCCTCAATAAATGTCCGTATTGGTCGCTGGGGGTCTCTGTATTGAAATTCGGTCAACAAACAGAATGATATCGAATGGTTTGTACGTCTATATAGTGATTATACCAGCAACCCTATTCAATATTTTCAATGGTCACCCATTTGAGAATTGCCAACTAGGTACCAAATAAGAACCGGTTGTTCCTATACTAAAGACGTACAACAATAGTAAATTGATACTTTCAAAAAGATAAAACCAAAGATAAAAGTGGTATTATATAAAATGCTATCGAAGGTATTTTAAAAGTACCTACCTACACAGTATATAATACAAAATCTATACAATTTCAATGAAAAAATAATAAATTACTTTCAACATAAAATGTTTCTTTAATATGTATTGTCAATAAAATGATGAATTATCAACTGAAGTCTGAAGGCGACCATTATTGGTATATGTTGGGTTTAAATAAAATATAATAAACATTGAAGAAAGATTAGAACTTTTGTATAATATATTAATAATTGTGAAATCTTTCATGTGCCAATAACTTCTATCAATATTTAAGCTTAGGTTCAAAGTTGAAAAGATACTGATTAAATATTTATATTTTTATGAATAATCATTTTAAGTATTTGTGAAATACTACTTTTCGAGTAATGTATTCAAGTATTCATAAAACTTACATAAAATAAAAAAAAATAAAATAGTAAATAATAATTAAATTTCAATATAACATATTATACAAATGGGTATAATATATATTTTTTTAAATTATTCATTGAAACACTTTTGTGTTAATTATTATTTATAATAATCATTGTCCGAAATATTTACTCATTATCCTTAATTACGATATAATTACCAGCTACATACAATTAAATGTTGTAATTTTAACATTATTAGCAGCATATTTTATTTTAAAGAACAATATTATGTTGAAGAAATTCTTGGAATTTGAACCCTTTCTTCCTTAATTCTCGACACACAAAATTGAGCTTAAATATACAATATCCTAAAAATGAAAAATGTCACAGATAAGAAAATTAATGATGTAAATATTTCAAAAGGTATTGTATTTGATTTTGTACGCTTTAAAGTATTGACCATTGGGTTAATATGTAATCGCTAAGCAATACATAGTTCAAACTCTAAATCGGATCATCGCTTTTGACCACAGTTGGATATCGCAGTTATTCTTCAGTTTTATATCACTACACAGTATACAGTATAATATAATATAATATAAATAGTATAATATAATATAATATAATATAATATAATATAAAACATAACACCGACCGATATGAAACATGTGTCTATAGATGTCACTGGATGATAAATTACTATACAACAATTCTAGAAGTGAACGGTTTCACCGAGATAATTCAACACATGTTGTTTCTCAGGCTTTCAGCTGCAGTAAATTATAGCATTTTATAGGACAAAACATATTTTTGGAAGAAGTCTGTTTTTATATTTTTGTTTTCATACGGTTGTGGCAGGAGTGCGATTTAGAATGGGATATAGGAACCCCAGAGTTGTTATTGGCACTGCAACACGTCGAGCTATATAGTCTGTAAAGTCATACAACACACAATGTCGGCACCGATAAAGAAACGATTACTCCTCTGGGTACGTTTTATAGATGATATTCGGAACACCACGACGTTCTCTAGAAATAAATTCTAGTCATTTTTCACGCTCCAAAGTGTAATCTACAGAAAAAAAAAAACGAATATAATAATTATAGTGATTAGTGGCACGTATTACTATTACTATTATTATTATTATTATTTCGATCCTCGTATGTGGACGCCAAGTATTTCGTTTTATGGTCTGTTGAGTGTTGGCTTATTGACGAGTGGTGGAAGTGTCGGCAGCGGGGATGTTGAGCACGTTCTTTGTCGTCACCGCAAAACGAATGTATTACAGTATAAATGTGGTAAGACGATCGCACACGGAACCTAAACACTGGCTACAATAAGAGGGCCCACGATGGAGTATAAGACTGAAACCGCGTTCCTTACTAAAACGTCCAAAACAATTATTTCTATAGTTTATCATTTATATCATAATACGATAAACTGAATCGGTATCTGAAACAACACGACTCTATTAAAGCCCTTTAAAATATACTAAATATAGAATTTTCATTTGCATGGTATGTTGTTTATGAATACTTGTGTCGATATAGAATGTTTATTATGTAAATAATTTTAGATTTATAGGTACACAAATTGAAATGGATTGTCCAGAAAAATAGTAGTTTTAAATTGTGGCATTTGGAGTACGAATTATGTAAAACATAATATACTTACATAAAAAATACAGTGATTTCCAGTGTGTGTGCCAATTTGTACAGGAGAGATGAACGATTGCGCGTATAGTACCTAATAGTAATAATAATAATAATAATAATAATAATATGGTAAGTGCAACAATAAAATTGCAGGAATAGCTATCACATTATAATATACAGTGTGCGGATTGCATTATTTTGCAGCATTTTCAAGGCGCAGTTTTTTCCTCACACTTTAGAATTTTCCCTCGGTCCCCCCCTGAAGTATTGTACTACTACAATAATTTACAAGTACCCATGTAGGTCATCGTAAATCGCAATAAGCATATACCTACCTGCCGTACATAATATAAGTTCGGTGTACGCGCACCTGGGCGTTGTTTTTAAGTCGATTCGCCTCGCATCGTCTCGGCGGGGTAGAACTCCGGTTCAACGATGATCCCCCGTACACGCAGGATCGGCCTTCGTGTTGTATGGCACCACCCGCGTGTAAACGAATTTAATCGAATCCATCATCGTGTGCTCATGAGGTCAGAGAGGCGTTTCGAGTCACAACGGGCGTCTGCTGCAGACGGGATATTTCTTGTACCCATACGTAGGTAGGTACGCGTTCACGGAGAAGTAAACGCATTTTATTTATTATTATTATATTTTTTGCCTCTCCAAGCGACCCCTTATACGCCCACCGATGCGTTTATTTTTCACAAGACCGGAGAGTCCGTCCCGTGCACCCTCCTCTACAAGATTCCAATAAAGCCTACACGAAACGCGATAAACCAAATTTTTTTTCTTAAAAATAAAAATCTATAAGCCTTAGTGTTTACAAGCGCATGTATAAACGGTGCGTTTTTTTTTTTTTTTTGACTCGTTCGTTTTATTTTTATTTGTATAACACTGTATAAATGTTAGCATTGATATAATAGAACTGGAGGAGAGTTTTTGTCTCAGATAAGCTAAAACCAACGGACACGATGACGACGACGCGACTTAATGACAGCAAACGTTTGTGCACAGTCGGGTGGCGACCCACCTACTGTTGTTTGTTCGGTACCACTTTTATAAGTATTTACTACATATCTAGGGAATTTTATAAAAAAAAAATAAAGAAAAGAAGTACGCAAGAACAATACTTGTACGTTTCATAGTAATCCTATAATAATAAAACGACCGAAATAAAAACATGTAGCTAAATATTATTTGTTAAAAACTAAAATTATATGAACCATAATACAATGAGTTAAATTGAATTTATAAACAAACGAGTAATTTATAAAAACAAAATAATATGTTCGTAAAACGTAGATGTTTGGTTTTGGTAAGCTTGGATGAGTAGCTAAGACATTTCTATTGAACCTTCTCATGGTTGTTATCGCCTGTCGGTAAACATCAAATAAAATCGACAAAAAGTCTTTAAATGTATAATGTATATATTATTATTATTTATAATATATTTTATGTAGAATTTAGATTCATATGGCACGCAGCCCGATATTGGTGATAAGACCTAAGTCAACCCTAAGGACACTATAATATAGTATTAAAATCAGAGCTTGCAAATGTTATAACAATGTTATTTTGATAAAAAACGATTGGTATTTGTAAAATTAATTATAACGGACAACGATAAACGTAAATAATTAAATAACACAAGATAAAACATAACTATTAACAAAATATATGAAGTATCATAAAAAAAAATACAACGCAAAACATTATACCTATATAGTATATCATTAAAAGGAATTATTAATTTCCAATTATTTAGTAGTTATAAATTATAAAATATATTAAAGATTTTGATTCTGAATAACGAATAATGGATAAACTCAAAAGTTAAATAACATTTTAATTTTGAATACTTAACGATAAACTCAAAATGTGTAATATAAGGTTTTAATTGTAAATAACGTATAACAATTTTTTTTTTCCAAATGCAATCCCTGCTTAAAATTAATGGTAACTATATAGTACATAACTAGATATTATAATTTAATCCTAAACACGTGTTGAATAATAGAGATAACAGAAGTAAAAAAAATAAAAATACGTACTGTACACTATATAGTAGCTGTATACGTTATTATCATATATTATAGATATATTTATATTTAGTCATATACTAAAATTTGAATATTTATTCACTGGAGTGTCTCAAAAAATAATTATACAGTTATAATAGCTTACTATTGATTGTTTTTATAATGGAAAAAAGCTCATTACTTATTAGTGAAAATTCAACTAAATTTTAAAGGTTTTTTCAATTATTTTAAATATTTTTAAATTATTACTGAGACATTTCTATTTTTAATTCATTAAAATACAAACTTAATCTAATTTTCTTCCAGAAATTTTCATTGAAGTTGATGATTTGAGTATTTTTTTTTTTTTTTTATATAAAAAGTGTCTTAAGACACAAAAAAACACACATCATTGAAAATGAATTACATTCTTTGCCCTTCTTAGAATCTAAGAAAATAACTCAAATAACAAAATACAGAAATAAGTTTAATTTTAATAAGAATAATTAAGTAAACATTCATTAAATAAACAGAGAATATATTATGAATAATTGAGTTATTATAACTTGGTGAATATTTAAATAACATAGTACCTGGTACTCGACTATAGTATAATTGCTTATGTTTAAGAATACTTTTTTTTACAAGTTTACCGGGTCACATCCCTAGTTAAATATCTATTCTGGTTATTTATTCTTAAAATATACTGTTAATCACATACTGTACTATTATATTAAATAAATCTATTACAATAATAAATTAACAAGCAGATTGTAGAAGTATTGATTGTCAATTTATATACTTGGTAGGTATGCCTTTTTTTAAAGTTTCAACTAAATAAAATGAAGTAAGAATTTGTTATTATTAATATTGATTATTACCCGTCGTAAATTTAATAACTATTACTTAATAATTTAGGCTTTAACATACACTATAATCTATACTCGTATACTTAATAATATAGACTTTAATATAGTCATAGTACATTATAGTCTATAGCCAATAGGTATATTATTTATATCTATATATAAACTTGCGTATACTTGTAACTTGTTTATGTATAATATACATAGTTATATAAGGTTTTATCTAGAATGTGTTTATAAATATGAATTATTATTTTCGTTGGTATCTTTACAACATTAATATTTACATTTCAAATACCGTAATGTGTATAGATTTTTAAATATATACTTCTGTTTCAGATTCATAATTTCTACATATAAATACAAAATAGTGTATTAATTAAATATGTGTTACACGTTTGTAAGTAAGTACAGTTAATTACAATTTTACTCATTTCTGTATAAATTTATGACGCTTTTTAAAATATATTTTAATTAGTAGGTAACTACTAACTGAATACAGAGTGAATCACTAAGCTGACTCACTTCCACTTTTTTCTTTAATAATGAATTTATTCAAGTTCTGATTTTTTTGATTTTGAGCTCCTACGATGAAACAAAATACTATTCTTAAAAAAAAGTCTTACTGTTTTATATTTGATTAAAAATTATTTGGTGATTATTTTTTTTGAAAATTTTTATAAACCTATAATTCAAAATTTAAACTAATTGTGTTTTAGTTATTCTTAGTACATAAAGTTAAATAACTCAAAACTATTCGTTCGAATTTCGATTATTATACATTATTTTTAAAAAAATTATCCACTAAATAATTTAATATAGAAAAGGGGAAATTCTCATTTAAACATAAAAGTTTTCATTTTCACGGAGTACACCTTAAGTAGTACAAAAAAGTTTCAAATTAAAAAGGTATTTAAAAAATCCAAATTTCAAAGAACTCTAAGCGATTGTTTAATCTCTATAATTTATAAACTGTGTACTGAATCGCATTAACTAGAGCCAAAAATGTATATGTATTGTCGATGGGATAAGCATGTTTTTTATAGGTATACAAGATAATAATTTTTGATGAAATATATTTTAATTTTTTATAATATTTTTACTTAATACCTTTATTGTTGACTAAATCTAATATTACTACTAATATGAGCAATAAAAATTATGATTGCAATAGTTCTAGTACTCGAGGTGTATATAGTGCCCAGATTTTTTATTTTAGTTTTGTACCTATTTATGTATTATATAGTTTTTATATACAGTATTATTTTTTGAAATTCTCGATTAAAATATTTTAACTAATTATTATTTTTAATTAAAATTAGATTTAAATACCACATTTACGAGTAACTATACCAACGATTTAATATTATATATTATGCATAATGTATATTTTTATATACAAAGTTAAATCTTAAAAAAAAAAAAAAACCATTAAAAATAAAAGTACATAGCTAAACTCAAAGTTAAGTTATTACTTATTTCTATAATATAATAATTATATAGTATAACATGTTTAATTAATGGATCTGTATATAGTATATATTTTGTATATTTTGTATATTTAAAATCGTTATGCAAGTATATACAAGTATATACAAGTAAAATATATAAATACGTAATAGTTATTAATAAGAAATTTATCTAAATAACCTTTATTGATATTAAATATAATTAACTTAATTAACATGTAATAATTTTTGATTCATTTAAAATTACAAAAATATTATATCACAATATTTTATAATTTTTTTGCTCACCTCTATTTCTTTTAACTCAGTGTTCTTCTTTATATTGTGATTGGATTCTGACCTACATTTTTTATAATATGTGTACCTATCGCATATTATCAAATAAATGTTTTAGTACAGAATTAGATTCTATAAAAAGTAACTACATATTATTTTATTATATTTATAATATCGTAGACCGTGGTTCATAGAATAAATAAATAAATAATGTAGCTTTTTATTTTCTGAATTATCCTCACGATCAAACGACCTCTTCTTTATCACAACAAAGTGAGCAGTCAAACTTTATAGTTTATTACAATAGATTTCAAAACCGATTACAAAATCATCAAAACCTACTAAATTCTACCTTAGTATCAAATTAATCTCTCTGAAAATCCCCATAACCGACTTAAATGATAGTAGTGCAGAGATCTTTTAACATGATAGGTATGCGATATTTTAGAAGCAGTATATACTATATACCGTCAATAAACGGGTTTCATTTATAATTCCTCTAATAGTCTCTTTAATTATATACTCTCCACCACTCTGTCACTCTCTCTCTCTCTCTCTATATAAATATGTTTATACGTTTATACGTTTATTGAACAAAATATAGTTATGATATTGTTATACTTAAATAACAAAAAACATCCGATTAAGTTCTTACATATAATATTTTATGATAATTAAATCCACCTACTAATGATAAAATTTCCGTTAGTTTCGATTGCACAATAGTTTTCAGTAGTATAAAAATTAGGCATAGTTTTTTTTAATTTTTTCAAATTTAAAATAGCAGTAACTTATGAACGGTAAAAATAATAAATATCCTTCAAGAGTTATTTAAGCTTGAGCATTTTTTTCGCGAATAGAGGGTGAGAAAATGCAACACTACAATGTTCATAGCAAGTAAAGTACTTTTTTTTTTAAGATTTAATTGAACTCACGCATTATATAGTCAGAATTTTTAACAAGAGGAATAATGAAATGGTTTGACTTTTTCTCACATAAGTTTTTATTAAATTACGTACCTATAGGTACAATTTAAGTGTGCGTATTTTGAATAGAGTAATAGAGTGGGTACCTACCAGTTTTCTCAAAGCATTTAGATTTTCTACTGGAACAATTCGAAACAAAAGGAACTAATTTTGTTCCCTTCCTTATAATATATTATTAATATTGTACGTACTTTTGTCCAAAGGTCACCATAACTCGTATCTTTTTTATTCGCACGCCGATGGCAGCTCAAAATTTGTACACGTGTAGGTATATATAGTATATACTTGGCACACAATATGAGTATACACCGGTATTGCTTTTGTAGAGTTTACACGTGGTGAATAATTGGGAAAATGACACTTGACCGGAGTCAGCTATTGCAGCTGAGCGTACCACTTGTCGAGACGCCGCTAATGTAGTTCCCATGCAGTCGATTATGATCACCGAAAAATGAGACGCCGTTTACATCAGACTCTAAACCGTTCATCTGGCGTCCTCGGGGGTGCAATGAAAAAACCAGAGAAAAAAATCATACGTTTTCAATAATGATTTATTATAGTATATTGATTATATTACAGATAATACTACTTAATGTTATATTATTATATGCTCCCCTTTATATTAAAATGAAATTGCGGTAGCTAACGGAAATCTGTAATTTTCATGTATATAATAAATATTTGGTATGTAGTATATATATTATTATATAATATAGAGGGAGGTGAGCGCGGGTATCTAATATATTGCACATAATTTATATCATTTTCAATGGATGAAAATGAAATAATGAAAATAACCAATAATTACGATCGTTATTTTGTATTAAACTTTATTTCTTGTTCCTAAACGGCTGATGATCATTACCGCGTAAAAGAAAATCTATAACCCACATAATTTTAAAATAAAATACATCAATTTTTTTTTTTTTTATCTCTGCTGCTACTATACCCGTGTACTCATATCCCATAATTACATATCCCATATCCGATATTATTTGTTATAAAAATGATTTGGGTCAACAGCACTTATTATTTATTATTATTATGTGTATCTATTAAACATGAAATAAATAGGTATGAAATCTTATTTTTAAACAAGTATGCTGCATGTCACATGCTCAAACTGTATGTATAAAAGCTGAAAGGTATTACAAGTTTAATGTGATGGCGTTTGTTTACTTAATACAAGTCTCAAGCCGTGATGGCTAAACGTATAAAAGCTTTAACTTCTATACTACGATAAAGGACACAAGACAAAAGCAGCGCAAAATTAACCCTTGTCATACCTACTTTATATCATATATATGATATTCTAAATACAATATCTTTTATTATAGAGCATACCTACACAATAAACGACGATACTGAGTTTAAAATCAATACGGAAAATCGAGTATTATAAAAATTAAAAATTTAACCCATAATGAATAGTATATTTGCGCATTTATTATTTAACATACTTTTGTTTATTTTTTTCAGAAATGTAAAAAAATTAACTTGAGAATGTTTATAGATCAATCGCCAAATACGTTGAGTATTAAATTGGTGGTGTATTGACGGATGTTTGAAAATCTATTAGAAACTATCTTATTTTTTATAATAAGTGTATTGTTCTATTTTAATAGATTTATAGGTTATAAAAGTGTCACCAGATCTAAGCTATTTCCTTTACTCTAATAAATATTTATTTAAGTTCCTTATATTACATTTTCATTTTGTACATTCAAAAGAAAATATGAAGTTCAAATTTATGGAAATTTACAAATTTTTGTAGCTGTTATTAAAAATATTTATAATTTTAAATTTAAAACAAGGATCCTTATATTAAATAGTTCTTACTAAAATCCACAGATCTTAAAAAATATATAGAATATTTTTTTTTTTTTATGTAGACACTATATTTTTCAAATTTCTTACAAAATTTAAAATTTAAACAAAGAGCAACAATTATAGTCTTACTGTCTTTTGTAAAGAATCAAAACTTTTATGTTTATTATTTTACTACACACAATGGAATTTCATAAATTATAAACTATTACATATATATATATTTTTTTCCTACGCCATTCTTTGATAAGTTGGTATTAATTCAAAAATTAATAACAATAATACATCATATAAATATTAAAATATAATATTAATTAATAATATAATAAATATCATTTTTTCTGAAAAAAATAATTAACCGTATGTTAACTAGATGATAAATCACTTTATACATTACAAAGTTTAATAATAATAATATCATAATACAGTATATAACAACACTTATAGTAATTAGGCTGATAAATTAAGCTTGGAATCATTTATTGCGTGCAATTATTTACCATTGAATACAAATTCAACACATGAATTGTATATAATAGTCATCTACTCAAAGACAATGTATACTTGAAACCTACTGTATGCAGATTGCAGAGCGTTACCCACTTACCACCTTTTTTAATTGTCTTGTAGTTTTCGAAAAAAATGTAGTTACATAACCAGGAAGTAATTGAATCTTTACCAAATTTAGACAAACCGAGCCCTATAATTAAAATAAGCTCAAATACAATAATTGTTCACGATAAAAATAATAGTAAGTACATTGATTAATCATAATCTCACGAAAGTTGATAAGGTCCACTTTTATAAACTGCACATTATATTATATTTTATATAATTATTGATGCTATACGTGTATATGCTTTATTATAATAGGCAATATTATGTAGAGATTAGCGTTGAGTACGTTTAGTTTGTTGATATTTATTTTTGAACACATCAAATTTCTGAATCCGCACCATATTTTCTCAAATAAGCATAAACAAAAGTGTATACAAATGCTATTTATTTATTTTATATTCGTATACACAAATGGTGGTTAAAACTGATGAAAAATACGAATAAGTATATTTTTTTTAAATTGGGCTAGCATTATTAAAAACGCATTACAATTGTTGAAAAAAGTTAAATATTCTTTTCAAAGTATTTAAATTTTTATTTTTTTATAAAAACTATTGAAAAATGTAACTTATAGTAAAAAAAATGTTAAATAGAACACACGACACACGAAGAGCAATAGCTAAACAAACAAAAATATTATTATTATATTGAATTTCTGTGGTACATAGCACAGAAAAAAAAATAAAATAAAGTTTTGTATAATTAATTAGAAAAAAGTTATTAACTGGATTACCACGGTAATGGAGTAGTGCATCAATTGTATATAATGTAAGACTAAAATATATAATTATAAATAAAAATAAAAAAGACTTCTGATAAACGTATAATTTCGTTTCAAAATAATTAACGTTTTATCAAATTTTATAATTTATAACCTTGAAAAATAAATGCTAATTAATATATAAATTTATAAAGGTAAAAAGGATGTGAGTAAGTATAATAATTGGTAGGAATATCTATTAAAATGATAATATATGAAATATAGTAACCTTGAGCATTTGACATCCAGTATTCATGTAATATTATATAGATTATTGACCTTTGCTTTGATCATTTTTATACGTGCATTTTTAACATAACCATATTTTTTTTATGAAATTTGATTTCAAAATAAAAAATAATTAATGCCAATACAATAGATATTACAGTTAACAGTAATAAATAAAATATGCAGGAAGCCCAGATTTCCAATTTTCCATACGAATTTATTAACTAAAGCAACATCGAATTGTTTTTATTGTTCATAAGAATGAATCTGACGAAGAGTTATAGTTGGATGCTTTGCTTACATTATTTAAATATGTTTGAATCATAGCTATTCACTTTAATTTATTTATAAAATAGGGAAATACATAATGTGTAAGGAAAATGTTTTTTGAATAAAAACTATTATTTTAAGTATTACATAATTGATTCATACAAACACGTTAAAATTGAATAAAAATAGAAATTAATAATCATATTAAATTCAATTTTTAAATAAAGCACATTTTTAGTATTGAAGATTCCTAAATACGAGTATATAGCTATATTAGTATTTAATTTTATATAATTTTAGATTAGAAAAATTATTTAATCAACTCATATAGTAATTATAATTTTATTATATCATATACTATTATTTAATAAGTTATAACTTTTATTAACCTTAAAGTCAATATACATCGAATGGTTTGAATAGGTATAAATATCATGAAATTATTCTAAGTATTTTGAAAATATCTTTGTGTATATCTATAGTAAATAATGTACGTACTAATGAAATACTTCAAGTCCTCTAAGAAAACTATTTTTTAAATTACATTAAAATAATTAAAATTACTTTTATTTGTTAAAATATGAACACCTATCCAATTTTGTTGCAATTTAAAGTTGAAATATCTATTAGAAAAATTTTGCAATTCGTCTTTAAATTGCTATAAAAACAATTTATATTACATACGAGTATTGCTTAAAAAAGTTTTCAAAATTTTGACTGAGCCCATTATTTTTTTCAAGATTAAAGAAAAATTAAAAAAAAAAAAACCAAAAATGCATAGTGTTCATAAAAAACTTAAAATTAATCTAAACGTTTTGAAAATTTAACTGTTTATAAAAAATGATACTTTAAAATAAAGTGGAATTTTTTGAATTTTTACAATCTTCTTTTTGAATTATTACAAAATAACAGACATTATTTGATTAAAAATCATTATTTTACTTCAATAAAAGAAGAACGTTAGACACTCGTTTAAAATGTAATATAATTGTACACAAAACTTTATTTTTAAATTCAATTAAAAGGAAAACTTATAAAGAATCTTGATTTCATTTTTTTTTTAATTCTTAACCATAAATTAATTTTTAATTTTAATAGGTATAGGTAATTTCATATTAACTTTATACTTAAATTCTTAAAAACAAACTAGAACTATTCATTTTTAATATTTAGATTATGAAAAAGTATTGAAAAAAAATAAAAATAAAGCACACATCATATTAAAATCAATACATTCAACGCTCCACTTAGAATTTTAAATGAGATTAATTAATTTATAAAAATCATATAGGTATAATACTATAGTATATAATATACATATATGTACATTTATATTTATTCTTTTATAATATAATTAAAAACTTAATTCAAATCATTAAAAAGTATAACACAAAGCAATTAAAATACCTTTATACTTAATAATTTTAAATTATCGACCACAAAAGTTTGTTATAATTAAATATAACCTCTAAAGTAATAATTTATCATATTGTTTGTATTGAGTGTAATTATCGAACGGTTAAACATCTTTATTTTCTACGTTTTAAAAATGTTTAGTTCTAAAAATAACACAATACCGAATCTTTATAGTCTTATAAATAATTATTCGTGTTATTATACCGATTATTTTTTTAAACCATTTTCTTTTGTATAGCAGTATTCATAGATATTTTTACTATAATCCATCCATCTATTAATACTTTAACTTTATTCACAATTCGAGTCTCTATGATTATATAAACATTTATACCTAATAACTACTACCTATTTCATCATATTTCATATAGTATAATGCCGAATTGCCATTATAATTTATCACTACTATGCTACAATAGCCAAAATGCAGTAATATGA